AAGAATTGACTCGTAACTGGTTGCCCTAGAAGACAATTCATATAAATCTCTAAACATCATTCCTTCAAATTTCTTTCTCAGCTCGAAATCTAAACCATTTTGAGCTAATCTTATAACTTTTATCTTAGGAATGTATGCATAACATCTGTTTTTTGAACTCTTACACCTGTCAATATATTGTTCTGCAGTCTCTCCCTGCTTCTGTTTGAATTTCGACAGATCTACTAAGGTAACTTCAAGCTCAGTTCTAAAGTATTGAGCATGAAATTTACTATTCATCTCTTGCCAAGTATGCACAAAATTTTCTAGCAAGTTGATGAACCAAGTGAATGCAGTCTTAGACAATGAATTAGGGAATAATTTCATTTTGAAAAGATCATTTTGTCCTACTTCTCCACACTGCAACACAAATCTCCTTATATGTTTAATGGTGGACTGCCTCTCTGCACTTGTAAACAAGAAAAATTCAGGCACCCAAAAATTCCTCGGGAGAGGCATATATATTATCCCCATCTGGATGATATGGACTCCTAAACATAGGTGTGCCTTTCGGCGAATATCATATGCTATCACTTAATATAATATGCTAACATATATATTATCCCCATCTGGATGATATGGACTCCTAAACATAGGTCTGTTTGGCCTCCTCAAGCCTGGGCCATACATTTTTTGAATCAAGTTCATTATTTGCTGCCTATTATTAATCTGAGGGTCAAAGTATTGTTGTTGCTGTCCCCCTCCTTGGACTTCTGGTTGGAAGTAAGGAAAAGGGGAGACAGGCCCTCTAGGCCTTGGGTTCATCATGTTAGGTTCATAGAATGGTTGTTGTATGGCCTGATCCTGCATATTCTGAGGCCTTACTTGATTGATTGGCCTATTTCTTTGTTCTGCCATAGCATGATAACCTGCTACAAACCTATCAAATGCATGAGTACCATACATTTGTGGCCTTGGTTGCCCCCCAAGTCTCATTCTCATGTCATTTGAGTTGTAATTAACTACTGGGTTTGCGAGGTATTCCCTCTCAAACATAGGATTTACAGTCATTCCCTCCTCATATCTTTCTTGGAGTGTGCAAGGTCTATAAAATGATACAGGTTCATTTACATTTGTATGTTGTTGAGGGGCCACAGGAGTTACAAATTGTGCTTTACTTACCTGAGTCTCCTCCCCAACCCTTCTTGATTGGTTGGGCTTGATGTTAGCCTTCTCAAACAAAGCCAGCAAATCATCTACCATCACTTGGTTCTCATGTGCAGACATGAAGCTAATTGCTTGCTGAGTATGCAGTAGAAGAGCCCTTCTCAGATCAGCAGGAGGGCAACTGGATTGGCCAGTTATGGCCACATTTTAGCCATTTCCTTGACCTATTTCCTGTCTGGCCATTGAATGGCCATCACCTAGGTTGTCTTTCACTCCTTCGAACCACCATCCAACTCTAATCCTTCAACCCTTTTCTCAGGGTCTTCAAAGACTTTGTGTTGTTTCTTCTTATCCATCACTCCAAATTAGACAAGTCCCACTTTGCGTGCCAAAATATGTTGGCAAAAATCTGGTTTTGGTCAAATCAACGGAGGAGATTCAACAGAGGAACCAAATTTTCACAAACAACAACAGATCAGACAATTGTGGTTGGTGTTCTATGTCTTGACAGTTTCAAGGACTTCTTTAGAGGTTGTAATGTGAAGAAACAAGTGTAAATAAACTGAAATTTGATTGAAGAACATGTAAACTTACCACTTAATTACAAGAATTAAATTACAAGTTCAAAATGCACAACAATCGACAGAGGTAAACTTGGCTACAAAGACTGAATTACAAGCAAACTATTCCTAAGTACAAGAGCTACTCCTAATTAAGTTATGCTAATTCTAATTCCACATGGGTTGTGAATTTTGTTGAAGAGTCCTTTTTCTCTTTGAACTTCTACCTTTTATATGACTTTTAATGGCCATGTCGTGCTGCCTCGTGCCCATTTGCCATGCTCCTAGTTGCCCATGAACTGCAACTGCTACAACTGCCTTAACTCCCTTTTTTTTTTTCTTTTTTTTTTTTTCTGCTACTGCCATGTATTGCCTCTTCATTCCACTTTCTTATTCCTCTTTCTTAGGCCACTAACTTTACTTCCTTTATCCTTGGCCCTCTTTTGAACGTGTCCGAACCTCTGTCGACAGAGAATTTTAAATTTTTTTGGTGTCAACAAGTTCAAAAAGATCTTGATAAAGCTGTGGATGTGTAAGACATTTTTTAGTCTTATATCTTAACTTTAATGTTTAAGAACAATTTTAGAATTGAAGAATACTTAGGCTAGGTATCATGGGTGTATAAACCTTCCCAAGAATGAGTGCCTGAATGCAGATCAATAGAAGATGCATACAGTGTAATGTGTACCGATGCCAAGATCAAGGATTATGTTATAACATATTCCTACCCTCAGCCACTTGCTACCATGAATAACATAGTTGCCTTGCCTATAATTCATTGAAACAGCCTAATTTAACAAGTCAATAAAAAAGAACCAGCAAAAAGGTCACTTAGGCATGGTGTACCATTTGGGACGGTAACGAAGGAAAACCACCAAGGCATGCTTTAACTAGTTTTATGTTATTGCAATCCATTGAACAAAGGTGGCCATAATTTCTATTGATCCAGCATTGTGGAAAATCATTTCCATAATATTCAAGTGAAGTAAATTCCCAACTTGCCACATCAAAAGCTTCCTTTGGGTTGATATTGAAGCTTAAACCTGTTTTTCTTGCTTTCACTTCTTAGTATGGCATCTCTTTTATCATGATGATGAATCCCATGAAGCCACTTTGGTTGGACTGCCAGTGGAACAGCTTGAAAAAGGAGGTATTAACAAGAATTTTGGAAAGAATTCTCCAAGAGCCAGATAAAACTTATTGGTTACTACAGAGAAATGCCCTCTAGATAGCATGCTCAAGGGACGCAAACTAAGAGAAAGCTTACTAGATTACAGTGCAGAGTTACCTATAAACTCCAAGCACTATACGGGAAGGCTGTTCAAATACCCTACTTTAATGACCCTCAAGCATTCTTAAAAAAATTTCTAGGCCTGAATATAATAAGGTTTCCATGGCACACAAGTACAAGTGTAGCGGGTTCTTTTAGAAATAAAATCACATTTATCTCAAGGAACACTGATTATGTTGATGATTTTGAATACTCGATGAAAATCATCCAACCAAACAATCACGCACATAAGAAACCCACTTTGTAATGCTAATCCACAACTAAACAAATCAAGTTATAAGATCCTACTTGCTCAAATCACCATGAGCAATCCCAGTCGTTCCCAATCTTCTCTGTTTGTTGTCAATCTTTCCTTGAACTTCCAATTTGTTCCACAACTGGTCCATCACAATCTAGCCTCCTTGCTATATGATCCACAGATAACACTGTGTGCTTATCCCAGCAATGGTTGTGCAATGATATACTGTTGTGCAGTGATTCACCCAAGAACCTAACCAATTCTCTCACCCGCATTCAATGTAGACCATTCCTAACAAGTTAATGCGATCAAACTGTCTCTCTAACATCATGCATCCCCCAGAGAAGTCACAAAACCACAGTTTATAGATATACCTAGGAAACCTAAGCCAAGTGAGAAAGAAAATCTTGTCCCACGAAGTCAAATGCATGTGAGCATTGAAATTTTTTAATACATCTTGAAAATCAAAACAGTGTTGCGTGCATTCATACAAACCAGTCATGCATTTGAACGATCACAATACCAGAAGTTAAGATAAGTGTGGTAACACTTTTGTACAAACAAGCTCCTCATACGTTTGAACGCATGAAGCGCTGTTTCTACACTGATTTACTATTATGAATTCCAATCATTCAGGGTGACTAAAGTAAAAAAAACACCAACAATTAATAAAACCTAACAAAGACTCAATAAACTAAGCTCTTCAAATTAAAACCAAAACCATGAAACCCCATGATGTATATCATAACACCCAACCTGTGTGTAAATGCAAATATATGAGTGATATGCCTATAAGATTAACTCCTCTGAAGATATTCAATGTGATGTATTCTTCAGAGTGAATCTTCATTCTGAATATAGCCTTACTTGTCTCACAAAAATGTTAGAACCCGGAATGCGCATGAGATCAAGTCAATGCCTAAATTACAGGCTAAAAAATATGAATGAAATTTCCGACATAAAAATGACTAAGGAGAAACACATTTTTCCTAACAATAAGAAATCTAAAATAGACTTCCAAACCCAGTTCTTTAAATAAAGTAGAATTGGTTTTAGCTTCAAGAGACACCTCAAGCAGAGCAGTATTTGCACGGTTACTCCACAAGAATGCCATTATAACTTCTAATTTCCCATTGTGCAGTAAAGGATTCAGCAGCAAAATCCACTTCTATTAAGTTTTAATTCACATCTCAATGACAGAAAACCCAACTAAATTGGTCAAATTATCAAGTAATCCTTCAATTCTGGCTGCTACCAACAAATACAATCTATCCAAATCCGGTGAAGAAAGCTCAAAAGCATCAAGAAATGGACACATGACCAACATCATAGTAAAGTTTCAGACAGATAATAAACAATGAATGGATGCATTAAAAAACCAACAAATGCATAGCATGTGGACATCATATAATCTACACAAGTATGGCATTTTCAACGGAACATCACCAATACAGTTTCTACATAATTTCCACTAATAAGCAAAAACATCTTTCAAAACTTCTTAAGATTCTAGAAACCTAATATTCATAAAATCAAATTAACCAGCTACACAACAATCTCCTCTACACCAAATAAAAATGCCCCCACTTGGTACTAGTTATTATACTAACAATCAGCAATCCAATTGTCATTAGCACATAAAATTAAAACTAATAAATTACAAAAATTCTAACTTAAGTTATTTCAGAAACATTAATTGCAATAATTCAAAGTTAAATGCTAACAGGAATTGAATTCAATTGAAGAATAGAACAAGATGGATTACCATTATCTAGTGAGAGCGGAAAGTCGGTCCAAAACTCTGACCTTGACGAAATCTCCTGAACGAAGTGGAGAACTTCATCTGTAACCCCAGCCACTTCAGAGCCATCGTCTTCATCGTCCTCGTCCTCGTCCTCGTCCTCGTCCTCGTCATCTCCTTCAACCTCATTGGCTTGGATGGTCTCAAACTGCAACAAATTGGAGGCCAATCGAGAGATCTCAGAGACGGCTTTGTTGGAGGAGAGTAGAGAGAGAGAGGACTTGAAGCTACCGCCGATCTCGACTAGATCGTTCCTTATGCCAACGAGTGTCTGAGAAGAGGAATCAGGCGGTGGTTGAGGAGGCGGAGGAGGCGCGAGGAAGGCGGCGACGCCGCGGAGTTGGCGGCCGATGGTCTGGCCGAGGACGGAGAGGTCCTCTTTGACGCCGACGGTGGGGCTGTGATCGCCCGAGGAAGGCGTAGAGTGTTGGGATGGAGGAGAGAGGTTTTGATCGTCGGATTTGAAGGGGTTGGGGAGAGAGATTGATAGCCAAGAGGACATTGTTATTGTTGTTGCTGTGATTGATGATTTTAGGAGAGAGAAAGCATTTGGGATTTTGGTGTGATATAGATAGATAAATAGAGAGATGTATTGGGAGAGTAAGCAAATTCTTGAAGCTCAAGCTCTCTCCTCTTTTGTTGGTTTCTTCTCTCTCCTCCAAGCTCAAAACCTTTTTTTTTTTTTTTTTTTTAGGTACTTCCTCTCTCTCTCTCTACAAATATTTATATCATAACGGATAAGTGATATGATTAGTTGATAATATATAAATTTACTTTCTAGATATAAGTGATATGATTAATTAATGATTAGAGAAAATATGACTAAAAATTTTATCTTTAATATTTTAATTGATTGTCTGAGTTTGAAAATTTGATATAATTTTTTGTTTTGAATAACAATGTTCTATATATATTTATGTTAGGTTATTTTTCATTTTTGTTCTTAAAGTTTTTATTTTTATTTTTACTTTAACCTTTCATATTTAAGTTTTTCATAATTTATTGTAAAAATTAATTTTTGTTTAAAATTAGATAAAAAAAAATATCACATTAACTGTCACATAATATAAAAAGAAAAATAACAACAAAAATGTGACAGTAAAAAAATTACAGATCAATGATAAAATTTATACACTTTAAAAATTAAAATGTTATAATTTTTCATGATTTTATAATAAAAAAAAATTACTGTCAAAACTGTGCAACTATTTCCCATGTAAAAATATATTATTAATTCGAAGTTTGGATTTGTGTTAGATATATGAGTTATATATAATAAAATATTATTATATATCAGGTGACTGTTAACATGGCATTTTTTATTTAATTTTGGACATAAATTAACTTTTGAAATAAGTTGAGAAAAACCTAAAACATAGAAGCCATAGTGAAGAACATAAATTTTAAGGATTAAACGCGAAAAAATAACTAAACATGAAAAGAGAAAATGAAATTTACTCATATAAATATTTGTATTATTTTATTGATTATTTATTATGATTATTTTTTTGATTATTTATTATGATATATATATATATGATGATATTTTGCAATTTGTGAATAATATCTATTTTGTTTGGAATTTTTTTTATTTTTAAATGAGTTTTTAATTGGTATTTTTTTTACTTTTAATGATTTTTTTAATATTTTATTAATTTTTGTACTTGATTGATACACTTAATCTATATATATTTAAAAATTATTAAAATTTGTAAAAAAAAAAGTTTAATTTTCATAAATATATAATTACTTTTTAAAAATTCCACTGGAGTTTGCCCCAATTTTATTTACATAACAGATAAACCATTTTTAATCAGTAATTTGTTAGTTATGTAAATAAAAAATGATATTATCTTTTTTTACTAAAATATATATTTAGGTCTCGTTTGAGAACATGTTATTTTAATAATTTTTTAATTTTTTATGAAAAAATGTGCAGAAAAGTAGAGAGAATGATGTAACAACTTATAGTGACTTTTTTATTTTAAAATACTTAATTATTCCCAAACATAGCCTAAGTGGCAAGTTGGGTTTGGGCTATTTTTTGACTAAAATTCACAAAAAGATAAAATACATTAAAATAGTCAATAAGACAAAATGTCATATCAAAAATAGCTAATAAGACAAAATATCATATCAAATCTATAATCATTTCATTTTTTTTCTCACAAACATCTCATCTAACTATAAAAAAAAATTCAATTATCTTACTAAACACACAAATTTTAAGGGTTGTTTAGGAAGTATTAAATTAGTATACTTTTTGACTTTTTACGTGAAAAAAAAAAGAGTAAAATATGGATTGAATTTGAAGTGACGTGGTAATTCAATTATTTACCAAACACAAAAGTTTTAAGGGTTGTTTAGGAAGTATTAATGTAACGCCCTCAAAATAATAGTATTAACCTATCAGTATAGACATGCATTGATATACAAAAGTTCAACTTTCTTCTATTCATCAGAGTTCCATTACCAAAAGTATTACATGTTAACAACAAAAGCAAATGCCCTAAAGGCTTACAGCTTTCCAAGTTAACACTTGGTTACAACAAAAGAGTACAAACTCATTTACACATTAAGCTCTTGGCTTGAATATACATGTAATACATCAAAGAAATAAAACAACAAAAGTCCGCCCGCCTCTAACCTCCCAAGCTACGTCCTTGGAGGTAACATGCTACCTGTTCCTGAAAATGATATTCCCATATAGGGTGAGCCACAGCCCAATAGACATACACTAAACCAAATATGAACAATGACAAAAAGATTAGCAATTGATAGATGGCCAACACTGATATTTTTCTCTTGTCACACTTTACAGTTTCATGACATACAAGTCCATGTTACAATCCATTTTTCAATTCTGTTCAATTCTCAATTTATAACCATGGCTCAGAACCTGGCCAAACAACTCATATGAGGCAATAACTCATATTAAACACTTTCTTATTTCATAATAGATAACCATACTAGCTATATCACACATCAACAGATAAGCATACAAGCTATATCATCACTTCCATAGATATGCATAAGAGCACTATCACACTTCCAAAGACAAGCATATGAGCTCTGTCAACACATTAATAGATAAGCATATGAGCTCTATCCATGGAGTCCATCCCCTATCTCCTCCCAACAACATCCGATTTAGAGGTCCATCCCCTATCTTCCCATAAACCGTGGAGTACATCCCCTATCTCCTCCAACACGACACAATGCATATAAACAATAATTATACACATCATCACACAATACATAAATTTAATGTATTCTTTCAACCGTCAAACTCAATGACGCATTTCAGTGATTAGTTTCAGTTAACCTAATCAACATGCATTGTCTACAACAATCACGACTATCCTCCACCGATAGCCCAAAGCAGTTATTTCTATACAGAAAATAAATGCAACAATGGATATATAATCAACATTTCAACTAGGTGAGTGATAAATGATCCAACTACATCCCTTAACCCCTTCCCTTTCCAATTTCCACATTTTCAAGTCAATCCCTCATCTTCAACAATTAATTATACAAATTAATCAATCAATGTAATTAGGGTATTTTTCATAATTAACATTACAACCTTTAGGTTCAATTTTTATTAATGTCTTAACATTAATTTCACTTTTTCATGCCAAACACGCATCTAGGTTTTATATAGCTAAAACCCCAACTTTTTGTAAATTTACACAAAAGCCCCCAAACTTTCACAAAATTACCAAACCAACCCAGCATCTCAAAATACTAAAATTTAAAGACAAAGCCCATAGTGAGGAGTAGGTTATCCCTACCTCGAAGTTGGAGCTCGGATGAAGAAGAGACCAAAACCAAAGTGCTCAAAAGCCCAAGATTTTCGGATCAAAACGACGCCCTCGACGATCAACACGACTTTTACAAAGGCCGAAGAGAATAAGGACACTCCAACTAGATCAAACCCTAGAGAGAAGGGAGTTTCTAGAGAGAGAGGCTCTCAAAAATGGTTTTTAGAAAAAGTATGAGAGAGAAAGAAAAGCAAAAAGTGATTTAAAATCACCCAGCGGATAACTCATATACGTATGACCCGCTCGAGCGAAGAACACAACGCTCGAGCGCCAAGAACAAAAATCTGAACACGCTCGAGCGCAATAAGGCCCGCTCGAGCGCCAAGACACAAGAATAAAGCACTTCCGCTCGAGCGCAAAAACCAATCCGCTCGAGCGTAGATTTCCACCTCCTAAAACTTATACCCAGAAAGTACTACCCGCTCGAGCGCCACCAAACCCGTTCGAGCGCTACCGCTCGAGCGTAAAAATCACACCTGCAGAAGTTTTGCAGGAACACGAAATACTGGAGGCATGCAATCCCCGCTCGAGCGCAAGAAGACCTGCTTGAGCGGATCGCCTAAAAACTGAACAACAAGGAATTGAAACCAAAGCCTAACCAACCTGCCCAAAACATCCTAAAACTCAATCAAGTGGAATTAAAGGACGGCAACAAGATAGATACCACTACCAACTTCACGGAACCGAGTCCGGAATACAACAGAACAGTAAAGGGACAACCGGGATCGCTATAATTAAATTAGTATATTTTTTGACTTTTTACAAGAAAAAAAAAAGAGTAAAATATGGGTTAAATTTAAAGTGATGTGGTAATTCAATTATTTACCAAACACAAAAATTTTAAGGGTTGTTTAGGAAGTGTTAAATTAGTATACTTTTTGACTTTTTACAACAAAAAAAAAAGAGTAAAATATGGGTTGAATTTGAAGTGATGTGGTAGAGAAATGATATGACCCAAATAAGATGATTATAACCTAAATAGGATAATGTGCTAAAATGACATATGCTACTTTAACATATGCCAAACAAGCACATAACCTACTATAATAGCCAAAACAAAGTGGGTGTTTGGAAAGTGAATTTTTATGTAGGTCTTTTTAGTTGTATGATATTATTGGAGAAAAAAAATTTTGTGTTTAGGAAGATAATTCGGTTTTTTTGTGGTTGGATGTGATGTTTTTGAGAGAAAAAATGAAATGATTATGAGATTAGATGTGATATTTTGTTTGGATATATTTTTTTTAATTTTGCAAAAAATTTGTCTTTTTGTGAAAAAAATAAAAAAAAAACCCAAGTCCCAAAATATCCTACTTTCCAAACACCTACCTTATAGTTGAAGAGTTTTGTATTTGAAGATATAAGACTTTCATTGACATTGCAGTTGAAGTCTTTCTCAAATCAATGGGAAGTGAAAATTGTTGCGAAGGATACAAAATTCGAGCTCTTTGAACTCCTAAAAACTCATCCTAAAGTTTAATAACGCAAGAAAAAAAAATCGACAATTTGAATTTGAATTGAACATAGGTTCAAGTATGAAATCCTAGTGACATTTTTACAAAATATATCTGTAAAAAACATAAAAACTTTACCACTATTGTTTAGAAAGAAAATGTTTAAAACTCCCACAAAAGAACCCATGACCCCCCACTAATATATTGACCATGTTTGAATTTATTTTAGGAATTATTTCTGACAGTGACATAAATAGCTTGATCATTTTGGAGATTGTGTTTTGTGAGAACGCATCACAAATAATAACCAAACAATAGTTATTCGAATCACAAGAAAAATGATGTTGAGATCAAAGCCAATCAATGTGGTTAGCTTTGATTGGTACTCGGCTTCAGCTTATGATTCGTTCTGAACAATATATTAACAGGCAGTCAATAGACCAAGAATAACCAAGAATCACTATTCAAGCCTGGTATGCTCAATACATAAAAATGTGTAAGCGATAATCACAACAAAAAAATGGAGGGCAAAAAAAAAAAAGAAAGAAACCCGGCAAGAAAAAAGAAACCTGCTTCATCATCAAGAAGTACAAATAAGCAGGTTAAAAAAAATTGTTATAGTCCCAGAACATTTATTACCACCTTCATCCATATAAATAATCAGCGATCCAAAGTCGTCCCTCGCCAATCTCACCCTAGCTCAGGTCACTAGCACAACATATGATACACGTCTTGTCTATCTGTTCAACTCTCCCTGGTTTTGATATCCAAAACTTGCTCTACCTCCACGTTTTTCTTCGTTATGTTTCAAGCAAAAACAACAGCATTTCTATGCACGGTGTGTGTTTACATGAGTCCCGTGTATGGATTGTAGGCAGGGACAGGAACACCAGAGCCGTAGGGTTGTTGAATGCTGGCTCCGTATGGGTTATTGTAAGGATTTAATGGTTGTTGTTGCTGTGGGCTCATCATCATCATCATCATCTGTTGTTGCTGCTGCTGCTGCTGGTACATGAAAGCTTGTTGTTGGTTGGCCATGGCTGCCATTTGCACGGAATGTGGGGCCGCCACCGAGTTGGAGGAAAAGAACGGATCATGTGCTGTTTGCAGCATCATGGGATTGGCCATCGGGGTTGGTTCCCACGGGTTGTAGCTCACATTCTGGTTGCTTCTCCTTATTGCATCATCGTAAAGGCTGTCTAGCATGAGTTTGTCCAAACCTCCCCCCTTTTTTCAATTTCAAAAGTGAAACTCATTAGTATAAATATAAATCACAGCTACATAGATATATATTACATGGACTCAGTACGGTATCAAGTGCGTAGCTAGAGGTTGGACTCCTAGTCTACAAGGATACACGGATTCTCATATTTTTATATTTTTAATCTATTACATGAAATAAAAAGTGCCTGACATAAAATATTAGATATATATCCCACACCCTTGTCCAAGTGTCGGTATCAGACACGAGTATTTGATTTATTTTGAATAATCTATGTAACATAAACATAGATACCATAGTTGTCAAATCGGGATTCGTATCGTGAATCGAAATGGTCTCGTACCGAATCGCGAATCGAATCGAATCGTGAATCGTAAAGATTCGATCACTTCTTCTAAATTATTTAAAAACATATATTTACACATTTAGATGTTAAATATATCTTATGAATATAAAATATTTAGACTTAAATTAATGATAATGTTATTTTGAATGATAAACACGTAGTTTAATAAGTAAGAAGTTAACAAACGTTCCTATGTAAGATCACCATTTTACTTTTTTTCTTTTTAGATATTTCTTATCAACTATTCTTAATAAAAATAATAACCAAATAGACAAACTATCAATTTCTAAAATAACAATAATTAATAACGATATTGATATTTGGACAATAAGCATACATACTTTTCTAAGTAACAGTGAACAAATAATAAAAAAGAATCATTTAGAATCTTTTTTTTTAAAGCCTAAAATATTTTAAAAAGTATAACTAATCTCATACATGTAATATTTAATTTAATAAAATAGTAATAGATAATTCATAGTGTAATTTTAATCTTAAACATCTTTAGAAGATATATTACAATTTTTTGAAGGAAAAAAAAAGGAAAAGAAAGGTTAAAAATATGTTGGGTCTGACTAAATCTAATTGGATCCTATTAAAAACTTCATGATCACTAAAATAACAACAAATCATGTATATATGTTGGTTATTTTGGTATTAAACGCTATTAAAAGTTGTATTATGTCATTTTTACTAAAAAGTTGGAGGAAAAATAGAGTCGAAAATATGTCGGACACAATAATTTTAAAAATTGCATGAATCGTAAAAAGTGAATCGAATCGTGAATCGATTGTGAATCGTGCGATTCACTAGAGATTCACTTTCAAAATAGATTCACCCTTAGATTCGTATCGATTTTGTAAAAATTGTGAATCGAATCGGGAATCGAATCGTGAATCGTAAGATTCTGATAACAGAGATAGATACACACAACGAGACATTTTCCTTTTCCCTCATATCTTTTCCAAAGATGTGGAACATTTCCCTCCAAGCTGTATGTATGGCTTTGCACAAAATTCTGTCTCTATGAGCTCGAGTATGGAATTCTATTTACTCACTTTAAATTGAGATTGCTGATTTTGTAAATGATGCGGAGAATAGTGACATTGATCAGCATCAGCTAACTCTTCACATACAGCATTAAGCTAATTTAAAGAAAGCTAAAGGGGAGACAAACAATTGAGGGAAATATAGTCTCAGACGAGCTAGGACACGAGTAGAGGCTATCAACGTGATTTCGTAACTAGTCTAGTTGATGCATCCAAATAATCAAAAGTATTTCTATTTATACTTTAAAAAAAAAAAATGTTCTATTGGTACACCGTATAGCGGAAGATTATTATTACCAGTTTGGTAGAAGTTGTGGCACTCTCATTTGAGCTAGGAGCAGTAACAAGGGCCAATTCCCAGCCAGTTGTTCCATTTGCAGGAGTCAGGGCAGCGGGAGTTGATTGATCAACTGCAATTTCATCCGTCATGAGAAATAAATAAGTGGCGGTTCTACACTAGAGTTGAAAAAAATCACCCAAATAGAAACCTAATCAAAATGAGTGACATCGATGACTGACTCCATTGTCGATTAAGTACTGATGTTTAGATGTTTAAATTTTAAAAGATTAAACTTTGTTCGAATTACTCAAAACAGAAACACCAAAGTTGATTTTATTAGGCAGGTCTTGAGAGACGCCAGTGGAATTTCAAAATCTTGAGCTGTTAGTACAATGCTTTATGTCATAGATTCCTAAAGAAAACTTACTGATAGGCACAATAGCCAAAGCCAGAGCATTCTTCTCATCTAATTCTGAAGCACCTGGAACAGGATCATTCAAACCCTAGCAAAAGAGAAATCCAGTTAACAAAACTCCAACGGATTCAAGCATTATTGTCAAATCGTGAATCTGATCGTAAATTGTAAGACTCACTTTATTTAGCATAATATATAATTTTATATATGCATATAAACATATTGATATTTATTTCATTTCAAACACTGCATATCAATATAATTAATTGATATCTTTTTTTTATTTTATTTTGCAAAAACGATGCCGTTTCATGATGCAAACAAAATTGAATCATAGTGAATCAAAACTGAATTGTACGATTCACTCAATTTATGATTCAACAATATGAATCGAATCGTTTTGGTTAAAATTCATATCAAATCGTATAAATTGAATTGTGAATCGCAAGATTCTAACCACCATGGATTCAGGTAACCAAAAAAAACCACAAGCGCGTGTGCGCACACAGCATGATGGAACACAAAAGGAATGAAAATATCATAAGAATCTTTTGGCCACAAAAAAGATTCTAAAAATTACCAGCAGATCCGGTGGTTCGACGACAGGAGCTTCCACCTTAACTGGTTCTGGTTCTGGTTCTGGTTCTGGTTTTGGTTGAGGTGGGGATGGTGGACGTGCCTCCTGCACCTCTGAAGTCTTTTTGTACTCTATAGCTAAGATTGTCTTGGAAGTAGCAGTTTTATCTTCAGCCCCCTGTTTTTTTCAATATATTTGATTAAAATGAAACTGAGACCAGATTTCGAAGAATTAAATAAAATTTTCTTGTAAAACACAAAACAACTGAAAGATTTTAACTAAAAAGGTTAAAAACCAGTAGGCATTGCACCAACACGCTACTTTAGAAGTAAACAGAAATTTTCCATACCCGATCCTTGCGAACTGTTGAAGCTCGTGGAGCTTCTCTCACATACTCTTCCATGGCTTGTACAAATGATGCAGGTGGCTTCATTACCAATCAACAAATGAATCCACCAGAATTTAGTTTCGACCAAATGTAAAAACCGAAGGACTCAAAGTTCCTGAAAAAAAAAAAAAAAAGAACCAGAAGAAAAATCCAAAACCTGCTCAATCTTAGTAAATGCTTCTCCACGCCCAATGTCAAGGCCTTTGCATATTTCATAAAACTCCGACAATCTCTCTGCCTGAAGATATGATCATACCCGTAAGGAGAGAACACATATAACAATAATAATATATATATAAAGAAAGAGTAGGCAGTTGCTAGAAATAATTCCAAAGAACTATTTACCTGTTTCCCTGACCTCTGATATATATCCAAAGCCTTAAGAGCATCATGTCGTTGCATTTCAAAGAACTGTCACATTGCATGTTATCAAATATCCATGATTTGCTGAAAAACAAAACTACTCATTCAAAAATCCAAAGCCACATTCTACCTTGTCGACCAAATTTACGACACCATCACTGATAGCATTGTAGATTTTAATGCTTTCAGAAGCAACCTGTTGAAAAAAGTAAGGACAGTCAGGTCAAAAGAATTCTATTTGAAAAGTTACTTCAATAACACTCCATTGGGATCGTGGGTGAGAAAGACAGGAAATGATTGTGTTTTCTTACTATCATATTCAGATGGGTATGAAGGCAATGCATGTGAGATGGATATGAAAGACTTCTTTTTCTTCCTTGGAATTTTAATGGGCAATCTCACTAATATAAATTTTTTATAACTAATCAGCTTGTTTCTCACCAATCTCACTCATCACTTTTGATGAGAAATGAAATAGGCAAAATAAGAGAGTTCTCACTCTCATCATTTCTTATCATTTCTCACCAAATCACCCCATCCAAACAGAGTGCAAATCCATGGACAAAGCAGGGGGGAAATTTATAAACTCCACTCACCATAGAGAGTGCTAATTGAATCACAAAATTATGAACCGCTGCTCCTTGTGGCTGCACAAAAGTTTCATTAAGAGGCCATATTTGAAAGCTAGACAGCATTATGTTTGATTCAGTTGAGCGAATCAAAAAAAGTTACCTGGCAACCAAGAACACGAAATAGAAGCTGCTGCAATGCTGGCAACTGCTCAAGCAATTCCGGAGTGTCCAAATCTTTAGTTCTCTGCACCACAATTTACATAATAATATTCTTAAGTGACCAAATCTTTATTTCAGTTAGATCAAAAAATATTTGAAAAATAAATCAATCAAAATTTGAGTGGTCACATAACACTTTTCTGGCTGCAACAGAAACAGAACCCCTCAAAAAAGATTGAAGTTCCAAATGCAATTTCAAAGGTGCCATATTTAAATGAAATTATAAAATCAAATTTATGTTGTCAAAGAAAAATTTTGAAAAATTCAAATGGCAAAAGGATGGCCAGCAAAAAGTACAATTTCTTACAGGGCGCTCACTCTCAACATCATATTTCAATACACTGAAGCATTCCAGCCTCTCTTCTAAAAATAAGGCATAAGTGCGAACCCAAGCAGAATAATCCCATGCTGAGCAACAGATAACAAACATTATCAACAAATAAGTTGTTTTCTATACATTCAAAATTACTTACAAACTACTAGAATTGAAAATGAAACAATAAATAGTTAAAAACACACCATTGGGACTGGAATCATCTTTGAAATGGGCCATGTTGAGCATATGGTTTCTATGGTTTCTACTCCTTCCATAGTTGATAAGTTCTTCATGGAAAGTGGGGTCCACTTCCCTCAAAGCCCGATGAATAACTATTAAAGTTTTCAATGCAACCTAAACATAAAGAATAGTTAGTTACGCAGCGCTCAATGCAGAGAGAGACCTTGCCAATAACCCATGACAATATGTAGCTGTCTTGCAAACCACAAGATTAACTAGTATAGGAAAAGAAATTATAGCCATCATGGTCTGAGATAAGCATTTCAATTCTCAAGGAATTGTTGTAATGTCATAACACTTGATGCCAAATTTAAATCTTAGTAATGAAGCAAACAATAAAAGAAGTTCAATAACATGGCAACCGAAAATAGGTAACCATTTATGCAGTGGACTTACCACAGCAAAAAATATGTTTCTTCTTATTGAATTAAGAAAGCACAATCTTACCAAGGGTCCAAAAATATCGAAGTCCCATTTTTACAGATGGCATGCAAAGAATAATATCACTTAGACCCTTCTTGAGGACAACAGCACACCCTTAGTTGCCAATTAATGTCCAAGTAACCCTAAAAGGATTGATATATTTTGCAAGTAAGCTTAAGGCTCAGTTGCAAGCAGAAAACAAAAAGAGTGCACTCTTAATAATTTAATTAAACTAACAAGCTGATGAAATGGGCAGTAAGAGAAATATGAATCAGGGGTTTCTTGTTCATATTGCAATTAAGATTGCATAATCAAGATTGACTGACTGATCACTATGTTGCAAGTGCTTCGGAGTGGTCGGGGTTTAATTGGTTTACTTTGCAAATTGATAAGCAAAAATCTAGCTAGAATACATGTAACTCTTGTTCTTGACATAAGTCTTGAAATTTGTAAATCCTTAACTTATGTGTGTGTTTTATCAGCTTCCAATTGCGATTACAGTATATATTGATCAAATCAAAGACCTCTATAGGCCTCACATATTCATGCAGCCCTTAGAAAAGCTTCATCAATTCATAGAAGCACTTCAGTCATGCCTTCAATACTTAACACTAGTACACTAATACTTCAGTAAGAAAAATAATAAACCATATTGAGAATAAACAACAGATGAAGTGTTATTTCAACTTGCTCTCCACTAACTAACTCTTATTATTCACTTCAAACTTAGAGGATTATGCTAATAAATATTCAAGAGCTCTTATATATCTGATGATCCCTATGTATTGGCAGGTTAATTTTAATTTCTTTGGGTTGTAGTTACTTTAGCTAAAAAATGTGTGCTCCCAGCCTCCCATGATAATTGTCACGCTATAAAATATGATTTGCTTGAACACATACCGCCCAGTTATGTGTCTTTGACAATCGCCGAGACAAGGCATGTATGCAATATGCAACATCAGCTCGAGGCCTTGTAGCTGAAATCGCTGCAAAAATAGCTGCAAAGGAAATAATAAAAAAATCTCCATCAGTGCCCATTGCAGAGGCAGATTAAAAATTGATAAGCACAATAGAATAAAGATTTTTAACAGAGACCAAAAAGACAACAAGCCATTTCCGTCTTGAGAGAATACCCACCTCTTATGTACTTTTCTTTCGCTGGACGCTCAACATGATTTGTGGCCTTAACAATTGCAATATCCAACTCCTAAAAATCTCAAAACCCATTCAAGAATATCAAAAACCATCTTTCATTGCAAAAACCATCACAAGGGATCTCAATAATTCATACCTTGTAATCACTATTTACTTTTGCCAAACTGACGGTGGTCGAATCCTTAATGGCTCCAAGTGCTTTCCTCAAACTGTTTTGTGTACCTCCTCCATACATTTTCACTCCAATTACAAAAGTCTACACAAGGGTCCAAATAAATATTGTCCGCACCATTAAATGAGTCTCAATTCCCCACAAACAAAAACAATTATTCTTCAAAACTAATGCAAAGAAATCATACATCTCAGTTTCATTTAAATAGTTAATAACTCTGACATTTAAATCGTAAATATTGGAGTTAATTTTACCCCAAATATAGAGACCAAATGAAAATGCTTAAAATATGAAAATAGAAGTTTGGTTGATTTCGAATCTACCTTAGGTAGTGTTTGGTTCACTAGAATTCTGGAATGAAGGTGGAATGGAATGCTCTTATTCCTTGGCCAATGGGGAATGATGCAATGCATTTTTCATCATATTTTTAGTGAACCAAACATGATGGAATGATCAATCCATTCCACCCTTCATTACAGTGAACCAAATAATACTTTATTGTTTAACATAAAAATTTCAGGACATTCACAGATAAAACCAGGAGCTGAATCTCAAATAACGATCAATAACAAATCCTTGTGTGTTACTGTTAATTGTACCTCGGTTTGGAACATACACAGACACACACTAACACAAAAAGTCCTGAATTTTACCAAATATCGATATACCAAAAATGTTCTTAGGTCATAATAAATGAAGTTATGAGTTCACAGAAACACTAAATCAATCATTTTAGTACAAAATCAAACAAACCCATATCAAAATAAAGCTAAACCTTGATATAAAACTAAAAAGACCCAAATCAAAGATCTAACAAAACATAGCACAACTAATTCCCAATTCAAATGAATTGATTGAGCTCCGATACCAAAACAGATAAAAGAACACAGAATCAAAGAGAGATCAGAGTCGACGGACACTCACCTGAACCCAAATCGCAGAGGGAGACAAGAAGACAGTGATACAGAGCAGAGACCGAACAGAGAGAGAGAGAAGGTCGTCGGTCGAGTGTGGTCTGAGACAAAAGAAAAGTCACCAAATGAATATGTCTTGGTTGGCCGTCGGCGTCAAATACACATTATTACACATTCATACATCCCATAAATGATGTATACGTATACGTATTTTGTGTAAGTTGAAATAAAACAAAAAAAATTTTAAGACTTGCACCGTCTCCGGTCCGAATCCGGAATGGACCGTCCAATCCGGTCCCAGTGGTTCAATTTTTGAATCCCCTCAAGATTTTAATTATATCATTTTTATAAAAAAAATTAAGCTGATCGAATGATGAAAAACGAATTTTAAAATATAAACGATTCAAATTATAAAAACAAAATTTAAAAGTGAGTCCAAAGCCAGTTCCAAAAATTTATTATATGTTATGTCACTTGAATGATAAAAGTATAATTATCTGGGCTTCAAATACGGCACTTTGTTTAGTTTTGGTTTTTAGAAAGCAACTTTTAGAAAATTTTATTTTTTTATTTTTCTTATTTTAATGTGTTTAATGAATTTTTTAATATTTTAAATATTTTTTTTTTATTTTTAGACATACCTAACATAAAAACAATTAAAAAGTATAATATTTATGAAAAATATCTTTAAAAAATACACTAAATACCAAAAAATATAAAAAAATAATTAAAATTCAATATATTTTTCATATATTTTTTTATACTTATTAATTTTTTAAAATATTTTTTCACAAATATTTTATTATTTATATACATCTAAGTAAGATGTATCTAAAAAACTAAAAAATTACTTAAAAATTCAAAAATATTCACTAAAAATAAAAAAAAAAAAACTTAATTTTTTAGAAAACTTAAACTAAACACACTGAATTTTTATTTTTATTTTTAAATTTTTTTTTTGGGTTTGGTCCTTGTTTTGTGAATCCAAAATGTAAGACCCAGTCTTTACTTAATATATCTAGGGAAATTATAGATTATTTTTGGAATATTATGTATCCATATTCCTAATCAATTATTATTTATTCTACCTTCTCATATTTTCAATCACCCAACAACATGTCCTACTTATCTACTTTCTCCACCAATTATAATACTATGAAATACCACGTGTTTATATTCTGAAATAACTGAATAATTACCCATATAACAATATAGATTATAATATGTAAATACATATACACATACATACACCTATATAAACGAGTTATTTTTCAAGTTCATTTTATTTTTAAACAAAATTTGAAAATACGAGTTGTACTGCACTTATTTTCTAAATTTAAATTATTTTTGAAAGTCATAAGGAGTAATTTTCCAAATTCATTTTATTTTTAAACAAAATTTGAAAATGTGAGTTTATTGCACTTATTTTCTAAATTCAAATTATTTTTGAAAGTCATGTTTTAAAATATGAGTTGCATTGCACTTATTTTCCAAATTATTTTTAATTATTTATTTTGAGAAGATTATTTTTTTCATTAAATTGATTTGATCATTGTCGTTATATAATTTTTTTTCTTCATTGTATTTATAAAAATTGATGACAAATTTAAAATAAATCGTTTTAAATAAACTATTTTTTTTAAATAATTTATATATTACAAATTTTAAGACTGAATGGAATAGATTATCAAAGTGAGATCCATAAAGGCCCACAAACTAGATTAGATGATGTGGTTCATTTTAATAAAATGAACAAAAAATAAGATTTTATTTGATTTTATTTTTCATAAACTATTTTCAAACCGCTTTTTGTTTGTCTATGGTGAATTTTCTCTTATTTTAGTTTTTTTTTTTTACTTTTTAGATTTTTGGTTAAAAATGAGTTAATTTTTTTTTAAAACTCACTTTGAAAGAATAATTTAAATAAAATAAACAACTCTTATTGAAAGTATTTATTCAAATAAAAGAAATCATGTATAAGTTTTAGGGAAAATAATAAATCAATGGATGTTTGTAAAAATAATTTCAGATTAATGAAAAATTTTACAAATTTAATAATTAAAATTATAAAATTTTACATAAAATAATTGTTATTTAAAAAGATTTCACTTTATGCTAATTATAATATATTTTCTCTCTCTCCTTCAATTTTTATTTATCTCTCTTCGTTTTATTCTCTCTCTCTTACTTGTGTAAGTATACCTGGTTCAAAAAAAAATTACTTGTGTAAGTATACGGAGGCGTACGACGTAGAGTATCCGCGTGGAGTTTACAATTTTGTGGGGGTGAAATATGAGCCGTTGATGAGGAAGTGACTGGACGGTGCACGAGCTCGTGATTGGACCTTTAGAAGATCGAACGGTCAGCGTCTGCGATAGTTGTTGAGAGAAATGGGTGTGTTTGGTTTGTGTTTGTAGAGTAGTTTTTAAAATAAAAAGTACGAAAATTTATTTGATTTGTCTTTTTTCAGAAATGGTTTTGAAAAATTGTTTTGGGGAGAGAGTTTTAAAAAAAGTAATTGATTTGATGTGTATGGAAGAGAGAGTAATTTTAGAAAGTAGGTAACCAAACAAAATTTTAAGATTTTTTTGAAAAAATTTGTTTGGTTTGATTACTTTTAAAAATTTATTTGTAGAGAATTTTTCTCAAAAAATTTTCTGAAAAACAAACCAAATTTCGGATGTGTTGTTGAGAAATCCTATTATAGAGACTTTTACCATATGTATTTTTAAATTATGTAATAAATTTTTTTTAGTTATAACTTTATTTATAAAATTTTTAATTATGTCTTATATATTATTTAATTATAATTAAAAAAATATAAAATTATATTATTTTCTCTTTTAATTATAAAGTTCATAGGATAATATAGTCATGTATGGTAAAAGTTTAGTTTTGAAACGGTGAAAATTATCTATATAGAACTTTCTAAGAGAGAGTGTTGTTTGGTAACAAAGAAAATGTATTGGAAGTGCTACCTCAGCGTAAACAAACTGTGGCTTGAATTTTTTTTCTTTTGAAATTTGAAAGAATTTAAAGAGTTTGTAAAGTTGATTACAGATCATATTAATATGAATTGTTCATTGTTTTGATAATTTGAATTGTTCAATATCTTATAAAAATGAACGATTCATTATTGACAGTGAGTGTAGTGTTTTTAAAAAATTAATTACAAATGTTAAAATAATTATGATATTTTTTATAATAAGAATTTTATGTATAAACAATTGCATAATTATTTAAATTTTGTTTGTATTGAGAGAGAGAAAGTTGTTTGGGAATAAGGAAAATGTCTTGGAAGTGCCAGCGGAGTAAAGGCACTGGCTTTGAATATTTTAATTTTTTTTTTGGATGCAACGCAACGTAACTTTGAATATTTTAATGGGTAAATCATATCTGTTTTTTTTTTTTTATGTTTAATCATTTTTTTTTGTTGAAAAATTCTAAAAATCCTTAAAAAATTATTAAATTCTTTATCAAATATTTTTATATGAGTGTGGGACCCATATAAGATGGGTTTGATATGAATCGCACACCTATATAATATATTTAGCCTCCGTTTGGGAAGTGGGTTGGCTTTTTGACTTTTTGGCTTTTTTGGCTATTTTAGCCTGGGCTAAAAAGCTTGGTTTGGGAAGGACTTTTTGGCTTTTTTTGATATGAATCGCACACCTATGTAAGATATTTAGTAAAAAATTTGACAAAATTTTTAAAATCTCTAACATTACTTCTTTTTTTTTCTACTTTTAAAGTTTTGATTTATTTTGTTTTTACTTTGACTTTTTATATTTTCAGCTTTTACTCATTTACGTCAAAAATTAATTTATATTTAAAAGTAAACAAATAATAACACATTGATACTCACGTATTATAAAAACATTTTATAATATATAATTCATACAAATTTGTTTTTTGTGGCTAAAATAGCCAAAAAAACCTGAAAACCATAGTAAAAAATTTGACAAAATTTTTAAAATCTCTAACATTACTTCTTTTTTTTCTACTTTTAAAGTTTTGATTTATTTTGTTTTTACTTTGACTTTTTATATTTTAAGCTTTTACTCATTTACGTTAAAAATTAATTTATATTTAAAAGTAAACAAATAATAACACATTGATACTCACGTATTATAAAAACATTTTATAATATATAATTCATACAAACTTAAATTATAATATAATAATATATTTTTTATATCATGTGATACTTAATATGCATTTTTTATTTAATTTTAAACATAAATTAATTTTAAGAATAAATTAAAAAAAATTAAAATACGAATAATTAAAGTGAAGAAAAAGAATTTAACAATAGTTATTATGGTCCTACTATTAGTTTGAGTATTAACTTTTTCATTGGTGGATTAGCTTTTGGGTCCCACTTAAAGCTTTTGATCTTGGCATTCCAACTTTTTTGAGATCATGACAGGGGTGTTTGAAATTTTGAAACAGCAATGGTAGAGGGCCCAAATTTTGTGGCTCAAATGTGGCTCAAATGGCCAAAACGACGTCGTTTTGAGTACAAAACAACATCAAAATGGCCAAAACGACGTCGTTTTGGCCATTTGAGCCACATTTGAGCCACAGAATTAGGGCCCCCAAACATTATAATGGATTTAAATTTACATTTCATAATATATTTTTTCTTTTCAACTTTGCAATATGAGCAAAAGTATATTAGTTTGAAATATTAAATAACTAATAAATTATAATAAAAAACAATAAAAATATAAAAAGTATATACAAAATAATGAATTAATAAAATATTTAAATATAAAAATAAAACCAAATAAAAATAATGTATATAATAATCGAGATATTAAATATAAGATTGAAATATCGAGAGAGAGAAAAGAAGAAACAAAAATATTTATTCCACAAACATTTTCTTCAAAATAATGGCTGTAAAAAAATTCATTATATTCAAGATAATTGCTGTGAAAAATGGGTGATCTCAAGTTTTGGAAATATTTTATTTTTTATTGTCGTTGTACCCAAAAAAAAAAAGGAAATATATATATATTTTTTTATTTTTTAAATTTGTATACCTAAAAACAAATAAAGATGAGCAACTCATATCTTCAAAATAAAATTAATTATGAATCCCATATATCCAAATAATACCCACAGGGCCTGTTTAATTGGGCAAATTACAACATAAGATTGAGATTCTTAATTTATGGGACTCACATTCCATTATTTATTACAATTTTTGTATCTAGATTAAATTTTGATGGACATTTTACGCAACAAACTTAACAAAATTTTTAATTCTATAGCAAAACAAATATATTAGAATTGCATATTTTTCATATATCTATTACAAAATAAACATAAATAGGGAAACAAAATATTTATCTCACTAATTCAGTTTGATAATTAATCCTATGTTAATTTCATAAATTATTAATCCTCTCACTTTTAATTTTGTTAAACAAGCATGGCCTCAAATTTGAGAGAATTTTTTCCCTAATATTGTGTTTGGTTGAAGGATTTGGAATGAGATTTGAAAAAAGAAAGGGAAAATATGTGTGAAATTAAGTAAAATGTAGGTATATTTTATCTATATTTCACCTTCTTTTTTCAAATCTTTTTCTAAATCTTTCTCCAAATCTCTCAACAACGTAAAGAAAACCATTATGTGTAGTATTAGTCTAACAACTTTTCCATGTAGCTTATTTCAATGCATCTCAAAATTGACAACCAAAATGAATATGAGAGAAAGAATCAAAGAATCTTATTTTTCATGATTTTATGTCAATGCTTCCAAATTGACAGCCAAAATCCATAGTTTTACTACATTGTTTTATAGCTTTCTTAGATCATCACCGAATAAAATAGTCATGATGATGAGCCACAATTGGGTCCATCGTATTCTTACGTGGAACAAGTTCTCATTATCCTTCTTTCTCCTAGCGATTAGAGAGTAAATAAATTACCTTATGAACTAGTGGTGCTATAAAAAAGTGGAAAAATGAGTCAGATCCCCTTTGTGGAGGACCCCCACAACCTCTTTACTGATCCATACCATTCATGATGTATGGGACCCACTCAGTAAGTGGGTCTCTATCATGATGTATGGGTCCCATACATCATGAATGGTGTAGATCAGTAAGGGGGTTGTGGGGGTCCTCCACAAAAGGGGTCTCTATCATTACTGAAAAAAGTGTATTTATATGATGTCATTTTCAGTACCAAAAAATAAAAGGAAAAAACACTCACTTGTGTATTTTGTTCATCATATTATGGTCAGCAGAGTAGTTTCAAACATAACACACTATCATGCATTTGTTTAGTGTAATTCATATGAGTTGCTTACAATTTTTTTAAAAAAAATTTATTTTGAGATTATGTATTAAAATATTTGATACAAACTCTGTTTATAATTTATGAGTAAAAAAATCTTAAATAAGTTTAAAAATTAATTAATGAGAAATTAAGAGATCAATATTTTTAATTTCTGTTAAGCAAGTCCATTATAAATGACCTTCATAAACTAATTAGCAACTTCATTGAAGGTGAGGTGTCTTCTAAAGAAAATAAAAAATGTAGCTCCCAATGAGAAAATAAAAGAAAATTGTTAACATGGGTTGCCAAGCCAATTGGAGGAGTTGGGATTTCAAAATCTAAAACAGCTTAGAAGTGGTTTCAGACTCAAAATACGGCACCAAACCCTAGAGGTGGTGTGGTGGTTCAACAGACAATAATACATAACCATCCTACCAATAATCTTTAACAATTATTGGCAAACTAACAAGTAATTGACAGCTATTGAATTGTAAATAGAAAATGGTAATGCATGAATTCCATGAACAAGGGCAATTTTGCTTTTCAATTAAGTTTTTATTTATTTATTTATTTTAATCGGGTGTTCAGGTCAGTTTACGTACATTTCGACTAATCCTAAAATTTTAAAATTAATGATTAAAAAAAAATCAAGTGGCCCCTTAAATAACTAAATAAATAAAATGTAATATAATATAATCACACTCCCCAAAGTTACCAATCATATATTAAGAATAAAATTTTAATTTCTGTAAAATTTACTATCTTTAGCTCTTAACGATTTGAAAAATAAATAAACAATAAAGAAAAAGTACATAGGATTTTCAATAAATAAAGGGCAAATTACCTGAAAGTCCTATTCAAAAGAGGAAAAATCTATAGTCCCACAACTTTTTGGATACTCTCAAAAGTTCACTATGTATTTTTCTTTTTCATTCTTTTTTATGCATTTGTTCTTTTCTGTCTCTTTTTCTTCCTTTTCGGCGACTAGTAATCACACCTTACTTCTTCACTTTCTCTTTTTCTTTCTAACATATAGTCACCGGCGATTGATAACCACCAATGGTTGGGGTTCACCAGCAATCACCAACTACTAATTCCTTACTTCCCCGTCACCGACGGCAAAGGAGATAAGTTTCTAGCGAAGAAGATGAGTAGATTTACTTAAATCTTATGTAGATCTACTCAGATCTACATCATATCTGAGTAGATTTACATGAGAACGGACTAAATCTAAACAAAAAATAGTTTTTTGAGTACAATCTTCTCTATATATCTGTTTCTCTCTTTCAATCTCTCAATTTTTTCACATTTTCTCTGCTACACACTTTTATTTTCCTGTTTTAATGGAAAAAAAATTTCAAATTCTGAATAAATTGTTTTCGAGTTTTAGTTACAGGCGGTGGAAACTATAAAATTTTATTGTTCTAGTTTTTTTTGTGCTAAAATGAATTGTGCTTTAAAATTACAAAATTTTACAGTTTCATAACATTTTTTAGAATTGTAAAAGTTTGCAGTTTCATAACATGTTTTTCAATTTGATTAATAAAAATAAATGTTTAATAGAATCATTCTTTGAAACTATAACATTTTACAGTTGCAAAGCTTACTTGTCAGTTTGATCAATATTGTAGATTATTTGTTTAAACTCTACAAAAATTAAAAAATAATATATATTTTTCCCATTCACTACAAGAAAAAACACATTTGGCGACTAAATTTTTAGTCGCCAAAAGTCGGTTTTTAAGTTTCCCCGACTAAATTTTTTTGTCGCGCGGTTTGGTCGCTGGAAAACGATCGGGAAAGGTATTGGCGACTAAAAAACTTAGTTGCCAAAAAGCAAGTCTTTACCGACCAAAACTTTGGTCGCCAACAATCAATTACATTTTTTAAATTATATATTTGGCAACTAAATTTTTAGTCGCCAATAGTCAATTATATTTTTTAAAATTATACATTTACTGACTAATGTTTTCGTCGCCAATACTCAATGAATCGGCGACCAAACAGATTTAGTCGCCAAAAGCTCATTCCGAAAAATAAAATAAAATTACACCCTACTCTTGTAGAGATTCGAACCATCAACCTCCCACACCATAAACCTTATACAACACACTCTTTTCACTACGCCTCCATAACACTATATGATTGTATATGCAACATGTATATGCAACATATATTATTTATATAGTACTTAGACCCGTATTAATATCAAAGTATATATATAAACATAATTATTTTTTATTGAACATAATTTTATGTAAAAATAAATTATTTAGTAGAAAAAAAAGGACACCACTTTTGGCGACTAAACATAATTTTAGTCGCCAATTCTATACTTTGGGCCACTAATTATTTTTTAGTCGTTGAAAAAAATTCCCCCGCTAAAATTACCACTTTTGGCGACTAAACTTCTTTTTAGTCGCCAAAAAGCCTCACTTTCGGCTACTAATTTTTTTTTAGTCGCCAAAGGGCCTTCCTTTTGGCTACTAAAATTTTTTTAGTCGGTAAAAGCCTCACTTTTGGCGACCAAATAGATTTTTAGTCGTCGAATGCCACACTTTTGACTACAAAATTTTTTTTAGTTGCCAAAAGGCCTTACTTTTTACTACTAAAATTTTTTTAGTCGCTAAAAGCCATATATCGGCAACGAAACAGATTTTTAGTCACCAAAACCTATACTTTTGGCTACTAAAATTTTTTAATCGCCAAAAATCTTTACTTTTGGCTACTAACGCATTTTTAGTCGCCAAATGTTATACTTTCAGCGACGAAATGTGATTCTTTAGTCGCCAATAGTGCTTTTTCTTGTAGTGATTGTTGTTGTTGTTGTTTTTTTTTTTTTTTTTTTTTTTTTTTTTTTTTTTTTTTTTTCTCCTTTCAACTTATCAATATTTAGCACATTTTGTTATATTTTTTCACTTCAATTTCTCAATTTATTTTTTTTCTAATAATATTCTGGACATTCCGGTGAATATCTGAAGATTTTCTTGATGTCCAGAGAATATTCTGGACATGACGACGACGTCCAGTGACGTTCAGAACACTTCGGCAATATTTTGGCGAACTTCTTGGTGATTTTGAACATTCCGACGAATTTTCGGTGATTGTTTGACGAAAGTCCAGCGATGGTGGCATACAACAGCGTTTTTAAATTTATTTATATATTAAAAAAAAAGATTTTTTTATAACAATTAAAAATATATAAGACTAATTGGTACAAAAGTTTTGTTTTTAGATTAGATAAGTTTTGAACTTTGTGTATCAGATTTATTGGTAAGTGGCCCATAAATAAATAAACTTTTTCTGGGCTAACCATGAGCCCAAAGCTAACTCAGCCCAAAATAGGCCCAACCCATACTTTGGCCTAATCCTAATATACTAGTTTTAGGTACATGTAACTATATGTGTTTAGCTTAATCATAATAATATGTTCTTATATTTTTTTTTAGAAAAAAAAGCTTATATTAAATATAAGTAATTGTTAGATTAGATTTCAAATTCTCCAAAAATTTTGTTAATATTTTTGAAAACCAAAAGTAAATAATTAAAAATGGGTAACCTTGAACTCGGTCCAAAGTCTATGAGGTTAATTTTGTGAAGTTTTCTTCATTTTTTTAATGTAGAAATAGCTTTTAGAATTTTAAAAACAATTTTCTAATATTTCTTAAAAAATGAGTTATTTTCATAATTTAAAAAAGAAAAAGTAAGAAATTTGATTTCCAAGAATAGAAACAAGAACCATTCTTCAACAACTGATTCTCAATAAATAACAATCACCCATTCATTTATCTCTTCAACTATAATAATAGGTTGATACAACAAATGAATAAACATTTCAATCTATAAGGGTCGAACATTAATCCCTATTAAATTTTAGATATTGATTTTGTGCTAGTAAAACCACTATTATACTAACACAAAATAACACATTACTTAATTCGATCACAACCTATTTTTTCACGATATTCCAAGAATACAAGTGCAGCACCATAGTGAGCCAATGCACCCAATAACACAAAAACATGAAATATTTGGTGACTATGACCAGCAAGGTCAAAAAATCCAGGCTTCCACCTCTCCGGAACTCGACTAACATAAAACATAGTCCCTATCAAGTAAGATATCGCCATGACCGATTCATAAGCTAGGGTTATGTTGCGCCTAGGCTCGCTCCAGTTAACAATAAGAGCGTGGATAGCGGGTACAAGGCCGAATAAGCCCATGGCCACGAAGAGCAAGGCACGAAAAGATCTGAATTTACCAGAGGAGAAAGCTGGCATAAGCGATGTCACAGTGGTGAAAATACCGATAATTGAGATACTAGTTAGGTATATAATTTGCCAGAGTGGCTCACATTGGAAAATGTAGTAGATTGGTGGGAAGAAGGAGGTGATGATCATGATTGTGATACCAACATAGTCCATTCTCACCAATTGAAGGTTTAAGTTGTGTGAATGGCAAGCAAAGAGGTGGCAAGTGCTGCTACAGAGGAGACAGAACATAGCACCACCTAAGAAGACGAAGAATGGCCACCGTGCCGCGGCCAACTCTGGTGATGTAGCCTCCATTCCCGGTGGTGTAGGCTGCTTCAAGTTAATGAGTTTTGTTGAGCCCTGTTAACAATCATTTGATTTTTCAAATTTTGTTTTCACACAAATGAAGAAGATATAAAATAATGGGCATTTCAATTTTATTTTTTTTTTAATTACCAAAAATATAAAAAACAAAAACAATACCAAACAGTGACTCACAGAAAAGAAATCCTTTGAATTTTGAGAGAAATTTGCCTCTACACTCATGGGAAAAGTCCTGCAACAATCATGTTATAGGCATTATTAAAACTTGATACAATAATAATATAATAGCATATTATTATGAAATTATAAAATTAATTTTGTTTATGAATTACGAGATATATGATACGTATATCTATTAACACTATAGATTTTTAAATTATAAAATTTAGACCGAAATTCATTTTACCCTTAGGTCATGTTTGATTCAAAAGACTAATAGTGAAGTATTAATAATCCTATTAAATTAGTGTAGGATTCACTATCCAATTGGATTAATATCCATTGGATTAATAATCCCACCCCTACCCCATTACTAATAATCCTACAAATTTGTTGGATTAATTATCCATTGGATTAATAATCCTAAACCAAAATGTTAAAACAAACATGAGATAATTGGGCCCACGGATTAATAATCCTAATCTCATGCTCTAATCCACCCAATCAAACATGCCATTATGGTATAGTTCTTGAGGGATGCAACTTGAGTCAATCCAACTTAAGTAACCAGATTGAGTTCAACTAGTAAAGGCCTATTTTGAAAAGTGATTTTTTTTTGGTTTATTTTTTATTTTGTTGAAAAAATGTGTAAAAAAAAAATAAAAAGAAATGATGTACTCAAATAAGCCAATCAATTAATAAACTGATTTTTTTTTTTTAGTTACCAAATAGGCCAAAATTTTGTGCCTCGGACAATTTAATTTTAAATTCAATAAGAACTTGGACCAAAATTTATCAACTCAAATCATATATACAGTATTATTATTTAGATTAAAAAATTAGACATATTTTATAGACTCAAAGATGTCTTCTTAATACATCACTAAATTTAGAAAGTGTGTCTACAAAATAAATTTATATATCATTTTCCTAAAATATATTTTATGGTATAGTTCTTGAGGGATGCAACTTGAGTCGATCCAACTTAAGTAATCTGATTGAGTTCAACTAGTAAAGGCCTATTTTGAAAAGTGATTTTTTTTTGGTTTATTTATTTATTTATTTTTATTTTTTTGAAAAAATGTGTAAAAAAAAAAAAGAAAAAGAAATGATGTGACTCAAATAAGCCAATCAATTAATAAATTGATTTTTTTTTTTAGTTACCAAAATAGGCCAAAATTTTGTGCCTTGGACAATTTAATTTTAAATTCAGTAAGAACTTGGACCAAAATTTATCAACTCAAATCACATATACAGTATTATTATTTAGATAAAAAAAATTAGACACAATTTATAGACTCAAAGATGTCTTCTTAATACATCACTAAATTTAGAAAATGTGTCTAAAAAATAAATTTATATATCATTTTCCTAAAATATATTCATGACTTCAATTGAGTAAAAAATGTCCTTTCCGGAGAGACTTCATTCCGCATTTTCTAAATAAAATTATCAAAAAATATCACTTTTGCCCCATTTTTGGGACCCAAATTGTCTATAAAAAAAGGGAGGAAAATAAAAGTATAAAAAGATATCCCAAATTGCTCTTTTCCTTTAGGCAATTGAACATACATATCCTTCTCCTCTTTCTCTTATTATTATTAAAGTTATGAAGATTAATAAAAACAAAACAGATCACACACCTGGTAAATATACCAAAGAAATCTGCAAGTTGAGGAACATGCATCAAATTAGCAACTACCAACCCCAAGAATAGTGCAAACCCCATCAAATGCCTGTTTAAACAAAAAAAAAAAAATAATAATAATAATTATTTATTTATTATGACAATACAGACGATGATCAATACTGTTAGTTACATTTAAAAAATAAATAAATAATTTGAAAAGTAGTTAGAAAAAAAAGAAAAGAAAAGTGTGTCAACTAAATTCATACTACCAAATTTTTGTCACACTTTTAGACTGTTTTGATGATGGTGAAGGCACTATTTTGTCCTTTAGGTTCAATTCAATTTCTAAAAGATTATTATTACTTGGAATAAAGTTGCCACAATGTAAAAAAGAAAAAAAAGAAAAAGAAAATTTACCCAACGAAAATTTAATACATTTACCCATAAGAAACAAAACAAAATATTGAAACAACTTTTTTATTTACACAAAAATCAGGTCTCGTTTAGAAAAGAACTATTTTAGTTAAAAAATTAAAAAGTGATTAAAGAGTAAAAAAAAACATGTTTAGCAATAATATGAAAAGATTGGCTTCTACCCATATAAAAAGACCAATACATCCTCACAATAACATTTTTCATACAACTAAAACAAGGGTAAAATGAAAATTTCAAACAAAAAACCAAATATTACATTAAATTTTCATATTTTTTTATACAACTAAAAAAGATTAAAAAAATATTCTGAGATATGTTAATTTTTTTCAACTCATAACTTAGAAAGTCATTAAAAAAATCTCTTCCCAAACGGCACCTCAATCACAAAATCAGACACAATCTTCTCAAACGGATCACAAAAAAGTGAAATTCATTCTATGATCCGTTCCTATATTCTAAACTTTTTCAGATTGAAAAGATCAAAGTTTAGAGAGAGAGACAGAGAGTTAACTTACGTCCAAACATTGAGAGTCTCATTATGCCAACGAAACAAGCTAAAGAATGCTTGTTTGAGAGGCCAATTGGCTCTATAGTAATTCAGTATGAACTCATTGTCCTTCATGTACTCTGGCAATTCCTCAAACCTCACCAAAGCCCATCTCTTGTCTTTGTCTTTGTTTTTGATTTCAGATTTCTTGCTTTTGTTTCCATTGTTGTTGCCTGATGTGGAACTGCCTCCTAAGTTCAAGAGTTGTTGTTGATCATCCATCTCTCTTGTTATTCTCTTCCAAACACACCCTTGTTCATCTCTATTATTCATTGTATTTACAACAATCACAACCGAAGATGAAGATGATGACGATGATATAAGCGTGAGTGTGTTGGGTGTCTTTGTCATATTATTTAATGGAGAGAAGCCAGCCCTTATTTTAATGTTAGTTTAGGATATTCAACTGCACCACCAACCTCATTTAAAGCTTCACTCTTTGGCCAACTCTTTGAGTAATTATTCAATATTTTCGAAAAGACTGGCTACTCTCCAATAATTGGAGAGGAGAGTTTGGCATTGGTGGGACTTTTAATGCGGGCCAATGTTGGAAATACAAACCGTTGAATATGTAAAATTCATCGCGTACATCATTTTTATAAAAAAATTACGTTGATTGGATATCAATAACTATTTAATCATATCGCATTTTCAAAGTAAATTGGGACGAAATATTATCTGATTAAGTGGTTATCAATATCCAATCAATATAGGTTTTTTTTGCAAGGATAATTTTCATTTTGTTAGAAGTATAATTGCTTTTGAACTTACTATTAAACCTGGATATTTTTCCACAAATACTCGCATGACATAGAAAATATGAATCATGAGATTTTTTTTTTAAAATTTTATTATTTATTATTTGTTATTTATTTTGTTCTCATATTGTTTGGCAAACAAGGCTAAAATAGTCAATTTTAGGCAAAAATTCTCAAAAAGACAAAATATTCTAAAATAACCTATAAGACAAAATATCACAATCAAACCCATAATCATTTTACTTTTTTTCTCACCAACATGACATCTAACTACAAAAAAATCCAACCATCTTTCTAAATATAAAAATTTTAACCTACTAAAATAACAAACTTTCCAAACAAGGCCATTGTTTTAACAACGGTTAAAGGCATACCAATCTCTTAACATATTAGGTCTACCACTTCATCCAAACATGTCCAAGAATTATTGAATAGCCACAAATATGAGTTGAGTGTGAATTGGGTGAAAATTAATGGAAAATGAGTGAGAGCACTAATTAGTGCTATCACTAATGATGTGACAGTGGGTTCCATCAGAAATGATTTGATGTTTTGACCTTGGTGTTGTATTTTTTTTCTTTTTTTATTAAGTATCATGTCATTAGTGGTCTTTTTAGAGTTCTAAAATTAGTAGTCTCTATCATTGTTGAAAATTAATTTACAATCGTGCTACATAGCCCAATTTTTTTTTGGCTCGAGTGGCCCGATTTCCTTCTCTCTTTCTCTCTCCTTTCCCTCTTTTCTATGTTTCTTCTCTTCTTCTCCCTTGGTTCATCTTCCTCTCCCTCTGTTCATCTCTGTCTCTTCCAAAAATCTATCTCTAGGTTTCTATGTTTATTAATCTGTCTCTGTTCATCCCAAAAATCCCTCTGTTCATCTCTCCGTCTCTTCCAAAAATCTGTCTCTGCTCATCTCTCTATCTCTCCCAAAAATCTGTCTCTCCGTCTCTATGTTCATTAAGAATTCATTAAGAATTCACAATCACCAAAACCATCAAACCCAAAAATTTGGAAAAAATGGGTTTGAAACCCCAAAACCAAAACCAATCAAAAATCAAAACCTAGAAACCAAAAATCAAAACCAAACAAATCAAACCCAAAAACCAAAAATCAAAAATCAAAACCAAAAAACCAAAAACCAAAACCAGAAAAATCAAAACCCAAAAACCAAAAATCAAAACCAATCATACAAATCAAACCCAAAATTGATCAATTTCAAACCCAAAAAAAAAAAAGAAGAAGAAGAAATCTGGCGGAGCTCTCTCTTCTCTCTCTTTCTTCTCTCTCTCTTCCTCTTCCTCTCTCTTCGTCCTCTGTTTGTTCTCTGTCCAAATCTAATAGGAAGAAAGAAAGCCAAAAAAACAAAAAAAAATCACCGCCCAAAACGACGTCATTTTGGACAGTCAAGCCATTCAAGTCGAAAGATTTCGAGCTACGAACCATTTTTGATTAATTTATCACACATTGTGTGTGACCAAAATATAGAATTCCATTAGTTTAAAATTATGAATCTCACATTCAAAAAATGTAGTTACTCTATTTAAAATTATAAATTTTATTATGTTAAATCAATCAAAATTTATATTTTATTCACAAACTTAAATAATTTGGGAACAAAATTGAAATTGAAATGGGTATTGGTTGTTTCAAAGTTTTCCACAATTTTTTGGTTAGGAAGCTCAGCTAATTTTTGTAGATTGTATCTTCATTCATTAATTTACAACAAATATGGTTTTAGTAATGGTGGGCATCCCAAAAAACCCATTAAGCAACCCTCTCTACCAGTGGGCCGGGCTGCTGGATGTGGACAGGTGAGCAGCAATTAGACACTTTTAATTTGATTTTAAGTGAAATGTTATTTATTACCTAATATTTTTTCACCAATTTATTTCATTTTCTATGTGTATACATACAATAAACACTACGCATATATGTATTTTCATAATATTTAAAAATAAAATATATTACACAAAATAATAAATATTATGAGTTTTTCTTATTAATTTATTTATACCTTATGTAATAATAAAATTTTGAAAATTAAAACAAAACTTACATTAGTACTTTTTTTTTTTATTTTTTTGGGGGTGTGGTCACAGGGTAATATGGTTAATATCACACCATTGACTCGAACTTGGGATATCACCTCAGTGGAATTTAAATGCCTCCTTATGACCACTTAAGTTACAACCTAAGTCATCGCTCGCTCCAATAATTTAATATGTGATATATCAACAAAAGATTATAAGATTTGTTAACTTGTATAGTATTATTCTTAAATAATAGCTCTATCATGTCATACAAGAAGCCTTATGAGAGGTGAAAAGTTTTAATGAAATAATTTGAATTATGCAAAAATAAAATTACTCACTTCAATGACATGAAGGGTGTTACATTATCAAGTAAAAAATATTATAAAATTTGTTAGCTTGTATTTGTTAAGCACAGTGACGGAGTCAGAAATTCAATATAGAGAGGGCAAACATTAATCACAACATTGAATCTCCCCCATAACAAGTAAGAATGAGATATTATTAAACTTATACATTTTTATTTTTATTATAATTATCCTAAGATTTACATTAACATGACTTATAAATTCACAATCAATAACTAAGTTCTATTAACCAAATAATCAATAAGTTCAATCATATCAACTCAAAAAAAGTGCCCCACAATGAGGAGAAATAAGCATATAAACAAATTCCATAATAAGAAATGAATTATAAATTGATTAAATTCTTGTCTTGACTTATCAATTAAAAGTACACAAGAATAATCAAAACAATAAAATAGAGAATTTTAAAAATTTTAAAAATGCAAGAAGTTTTACATAATTTAAGGAGGGTCACTATTATAATTTTTTAAAAAATAAATAATACATAATCTTTATCTATATAAATAACTATATAAATATCGAAAGTTTAGGGAGACACTTGACACACTAGACCTTAGGTGGCTGTGCCCCTAGTTAAGCTTGTGTACGTTATCCTTACAAAATAGTGAAATTCAGTTTGATAACAAATAAATAAATAATAATAATAATAATAATAATAATAATAAAAATAAATGTCGATGATGTGTTATTATAATTTTTTTAAAAATAAATAATACATAATCTTTATCTATATAAATATTGAAATTTTAGGAGACACGTGACACCCTAGACCTTAGGTGGCTGTGCCCCTAGTTAAGCGTGTATATGTTATTCTTACAAAATAGTGAAATCCAGTTTCATAACAAATAAATAAATAATAATAATAATAAAATAAAAAATGTCGATGATGTATAACAACTATCTTGATTTTGATATTATTGTAATGCGGTTGCCCTTAAGACACTTCAAACTCAATACTTTACCACATGCGAAGGTGAACACTAGTCTTGGATTATTGGCTAATATCTAAAAAAACAAAAACAACTTGAATTGTTGACATTTGAAAAACAAAAGAAAAAGAGAAAAGAAAAAACAAAAGAAAAAGAGAAAAGAGGAAGAACATTTTACAAGTGCACCAACAATATATGACGATGGTAGTAATGATTTTTTTTTTTATTAGTTGAAATAGTAAAATTAAATTTTTTTTTTTAATTTTTGAAAGATAATTAGACAAGTATCATATCATAATATTGTAAAATATTGTTTCAAAATCATTAAATAATTTCTGGAGTTTAAGATCACATGCATAAACATGATGACTATAGGATGTTTTGGAAAGATAATTAAAAGTTGATTAATTATTATTTTTTTTAACTTTTTGACTTTTTTTTTGTAAAAAAAAAATTAATTAAAAATTAAAAAGTGACTTTTAACTAATTTTCTAAAACATCCCTATGTATATATATCATCCTTGAAGGATATTAGTTGTATTCAACTTTGCTAGTTAATTACTCATCAATTGTTTGACTTCCACAAGCATGGCTCTTTATGACAGTTATTATAACAATGAAGGATACAGGCTAGGGACAGTAACTCCATGCCCCTTGAGCATTGAGAAATTATTATTGTAGTTCAGATCAATGTAACTTGTTTATGTAGTCCGATAATCAATAAAATTACATAAAATAAAATAAAAAATAAAAAATTAGTGAGACCGATCCAATCATATCTCCCACTTATTAGACAAGTCAATCCTATAACTAGTGGTCTTGTTGGCCGCAGAACATCATATCAACATGCCATATTGATATATTTTGATTGTTCTAAAATATTAGTTATTTTTTAAAAAATTTAAAAATAAAATGATATAAATTTATTATTTTATTCTTCTTTTAAATTCATTAATAATATAAAAAAAATACAATTATGACAATTGATATTCTCTAAAAAATATATTATCAAAGGGTAATTTTAAAAAATTAATATTTTAAAAATATAATAATTGTACTATCAGAAAAAGTTAGATTCTCCAAAATGCACAGAGGGAGTATTTTTGTAAAGCTACACTAATTTGATATTTTCCCGATATTATTATCACATTGTTATTGTTTGAAAAAATTATTTTAAAAAATTAAAATGTGATACTTATAACAAAGTAAATTTTAAATTTTATTTCCGTTATGTAAAAGTGACATACAAAATTATATTT